TAAGTTATATATTTAAAATAAATAAAATTCAAATAAATTAAATTCATACTTAGGGAACAGAGCACTCACCTTTCAAAGAAACAACCCAGATTAAAATCCCAGCGGTGGTTAGTCTATACAAATTCTGCTTGCAAAAACAGTGGTGACAAAACATTTCTGCTGTGACAAAATGGATCGCAAGTTAGGATCCTCATGCTGTTTGACTAGCCGTCATAGGCTGTCATGATTTTTCCTCTCGATATGATGCGATTTAGTTTCTTCGAAATAATCCTCTAGGAAGACTATACTTTACTCCATTGTTAGATCAAAGCGTTCCTTTAATCTCTGGGCTGAAATCAAAATTAAAAGACAGTAGGGCTTAACATTGATGGCTGAAAGCCCTAAAAAAGGACAGACTGTTCAACACTGGTTATAAAACAATTAAATAAAATGAAACTCGCTAGATACTGTTGTATGTAATATTTTGTCTGAAAACCATATTTCTTACTATACATAAAAATCTATTAACTGTGTTGAAGTTTTCCTTTGCTGTCCGTGCATTTTTATTGGTCAGAAAATTGCGTGGCCGGATCCAGTTTTTTCTTATTTATTTCCATGTTATTTTGGTTTTCAGACTGCCTAAAATTTATAAAAAGTCATAAAGATAATGTTTTTCTATAAATATTTTTGTAACCCTAATTTAAAGTTATTTTTCCTGTACTGCTCATACAATTTTAATTAAAGAGTTTAAAACTAATAATTGTTTTTTTTTTTATAAATTATTATTAAAATATAATTCTGCTCTACATTTTAAGATAGTTATTTAGAAAGGTGGTCTAATCTTATTAACCGTTTTACAATCATTNTAAAAGAAATAAGCCATGTACTAGAAAGCAAAAGTAATGGAATTTTTTTTTTCTTTTAAAGAAACCTCATAAATCATCACACTATCATTGATTACAACGATGCTTAAATAATGTTGGTAAAATTTTAATTAATATAAAAAAATCTTATGTACTAAACAGCGAAATTAATGGATTAGAGATAGTTATTTTGGGAAGTCATAGAAAGTTACCGTATTATTGACACTAATGCTATATTGATATTATTGCTAAAAAGCAAAGTTAAAGGAGAAAAGGTAAACTGGAAATTCANGTATTATTATTGACACTAATGCTATATTGATATTATGTATTAATTTTTTTTTAAAAAAAAGCTATGTGCTAAAAAGCAAAGTTAAGGGAGAAAAGGTAAACTGGAAATTCATTTAGGAGAACTGTAGAATATCGCCATTCTAAGCTTAATTATTGTGTACTACAGACTACTTGGTAATTGGTGCAGTTTTGAGAAGAATTTCCATAGTTTCAGAAAATATTTTTTCCAGTGGTAGCGAAGACAATGCATTAGTATTTTAATGAATTAGCAATAAAAGAACTTTTCCGCAACAACTTATATTTTAATAGTAAATAAAAGGGCTGATATAGAAATGGCCATGCTCCAAAATCTTTTTCAAGTTTTAACAACAGTTCTATTTAAAAAAAAAAAAAAAAATTCGGATTTAGTTGGTTGCCACTGACAATTGTATTTTTCACTAAATTCAAATGTTGAAGGATTATGTAAGAAGTATCTGATATACTAATATAAGTATAAAATATTATATTGATAGATATATAGTTATTATTAAAACAGCGCCAATACTAAGCAATTTTAATAGCGATACTTTTAAAATAACTGTTTTACGGCCCCTCGAAAGGGATATGTTCATGAGAATATTACTTGCTCTTATTAAATTTTAACTATTATGAGTTGACTGCGAGCAATAGTATCATGCCAAGTGATGCTAAAAACATTTTATAGTTATTCGAATGGGAAGAACTAAAAAAAACAAACTTAAAGCCACCGAAAAGGGCAACAAATATTAAATAAAAAAAATTAATTATTTCTAGCCATATTAGTTGAAAAACGTAGTGGAAGAATCAGGTAAGTGACTTTTTTAGAACGAAAAAAAAGATGTATCTGAACTATTTCCTTACCAATTTCTTAAAAGGCGGACTAATAATTTTTTGCTTCATTTTATTTACCACTGACTAACTTGATATATCAAGTTAATATGGGTTAATTATGCTAAGATTAAACTGATGACAAAAACAGTTACATTAAACAAACCCATATTGATGCAACCACTTTTTGTTATTTTCTCTGAGTCACTAATAGCCCTAAAACTTTCTTACTCGGTTTTTCGGCTAATCTCTTTAATAATGTCTGTATTAGATTTTCAGTTTTGAACTGGATTTCGTAGTGTTTCTCGGTACTGATTTATTGATTCTTTTTTTTATTATTATTCATCCCGAACTAAGAACGGGTATTCAGCTAGTAGATAATGAAATTTGGACGTGGGAAGTATAGGCAGAAGCAAACATCTTTTAGTACATATACAGTCCCTCACCATATTATTAGGTGCACTATAAGATTCTATGTATCCGGTGATACTATGCAGCTGTTTTGTTTTTCCTCGGTTTACATTTATTTACTTTCGTGAATCAATTGGTTAACATTACAATTTAATACGTTAAAAATAAATACAAAAGTTTTTAAATTCTGTCCTTGGGCTAAATCTATTTATGGCTCAAGTTTGTTCCGATACTTTGGTGGTTATTTTTTTTTCTCTATTTTGACAAAATGTTTTTGTATTTTTAACTTTATAAAATTCTCCAAAAATTAGTTGGTTATAATTTTTTGATAATAGATTTTATATCGCACTCTTTTTCTGAAAGTTTTTCTACTCCCATTCAAAGAAATCTGTGAATTATTCTTTTTGAGCAAACCAACCAATCACACATTTTTTTTACAATCGCTAACAATGTTTGTTGACAAATTGTTACAATTGTTACATTAATGCTAATTTTTTCTATTTCATTTTAACCTCTTTTAACATATTTTAATTTTTAAAAAAAGGCTCCTTTGTTGGTCAATATATGATTTTTGATTCAAAATTTTGTTCCAAAACATTAAAAAATAAATATAAAATCTTGAAAATTGTCAAAATAAATTATTTTTTTCAAGATATGTTAAAAAAATTAGCATTTTGAATAAAATATTTTATAATATAGACACTTTTCTTGTACACATCCTATACTTTAAAAGAAAAAAGAAATTTTAAGATTTTTATCTGGAAAACCTGGAAAAATCAGGGAAATTTGAAATCTGATTTGAGTGGCCACCCTGTTAGTGGTCAAGGTAGGAGGTAGATATAAAGTTCAGAGTGGCAAGGAAGAGGGCTAATTTTTTGAACTTTACAAAAGTAACATTTCACGTAAACAACCCAGATTCAACTGTCATTTTTTCGCTTACCTTGTTTTTAGAAAAAATGTCACAATATTGATTCAAAAAATTCACAACATTTATGCAGTTTTAATAGGTACCTAATTTACTCGTAAGATATTTAGTATCTATATCGGTACCAAAACTGCACAAATGACCATAATAAATAAAAGTTGTGCATATTCAAAAAAATAGTTAAACATTGACGTCAGTGTGGCTTTTTTTTCCATGCCTTTTAGACAAATTGGTATCATTTCTCCATTTCTTTTGTATTTTAGCACATAACTTAATATTAATTAATAAATATTTTCCAATTATCTCCTATTACCAAAATTAACCAAGCATCATTGGTGTCTACAACTACATGGTGATTTTTTACGTATCTCCTGAACTAATTAGTACCATTTTTCCATTAATTTTGCCCTTTAGTACATAGATAATTTTTTATTTCAAATATTTCATATTACCAAAAGTAATTGAGTATTATTGGCGTCAATAATTAAATTTCAATTTCTTACAATTCTATTAAAAGAATTAATATTTCTCCATTAATTGTGCTCTTTAATACATATTTTTTTATTTCCTTTACCGTTAGATTTTTAATTATTTAGTTTTATAATAAATTCGTAATAATAAAACAAAGCTGTAATTAAATATCAGTCAATAATCAGTGGATAGTTATAAAAATAAAACTTTCATTAACATACTCAGCTTATACTACTGCGTTCCATTTTT